TGGTTATACTGTGCTATTGGTGCATTATGGCTGACACAGTTACTAGGGGTCCTTTTTCCTAAGTCCCAGTCTACAATAGATGATTTAAGCCCTAAGCCTTAAGAAATTGACTAATCACAGTCGCGTATTCTACTCATACTTGACCGTGATTGGCCAATTTCTTACCCCTGGTCCACAATCTTGCTTTAAGTAAGTTGTAAGCCTTAAGCCGTAAGAAATTAACCAATCGCAGGCATTTATTCCCCTCACTCTCACCTGTGATTGGTTAATTTCTTACGGCTTAAGGCTTACAACTTACTTAAAGCAAGATTGTGGACCAGGGGTTAAAGCTTAGGGCTTAAATCATCTATTGTAGACTGGGACTAAAGCCCATATCAGACTACGGGGTGTTTACGTGTAGTAATCAGATTTGCAATCGGATTAATCGCAGTCTAGAAAACCGACTTGGAGAAAAGTTCCCTAGAATAATCGGATTTATAAATCATGTCTATGGAACAATCAGATTATATCAGATTAATACGGGATTGTAGGAAAACGCGCAAAAATTTCTCGTCGCAGAATTTTGAGAAGAAATATAAAAAAAGTAGGTATATGTATATTGAGCGATAGATGTATTAAATGTTTTACTGATATATTTTAGAGGAACTATAGACTATTACGGTTACGGTCTATTTGTTTCTCTAAAATATATCAGAAAAACATTAATACATCTATTGCTCAATATATGTGAAGAAGAATTAAATTTAATTATTATGAGAACAATAAAAAGTTCATATACATATGCCTATTTTTTCATTTCTTCTCAAAATTCTGCGACGAGAAAAATTTTCGCGTTTTCCTACAATTCCGTATTAATCCGATATAATCTGATTGTTCCATAGACATGTTTATAAATCCGATTAGTCTAGGGAACTTTTCTCCAAGTCGGTTTTCTAAACTGCTAAAAACTTAATCCGATTGCAAATCTGATTACTATACGTAAACACCCACGGATTGGGATTGGGATTAGATTGAAATTTAACCAATCGCAGTAAAACCCGTATCAGACTGCGGATTGGGATTGGGATTAGATTGAAATTTAACCAATCACAGTAAAGTTTACTAATCTCAAGTTCAGTAACTTTTACTCTGATTGGTCAAATTTCAATCTAATCCCAATCCCAATCCGTAGTCTGATACGGGCTTAAAAGTTACTGAACTTGAGATTAGTAAACTTTACTGTGATTGGTTAAGTTTCAATCTAATCCCAATCCCAATCCGTAGTCTGATACGGGCTTTAAACTACTTGATCTATAATTCTGCATCCTTATTGGCTCTCGCAAGTAATCCAGTAGGAAAGATAGTATCGCGTGCCTTGTTGGTTTTATACTTGCTCAACTAAAAAGAACAGACCCAAAATCATAATGCTGGTAAAATGGATTCCGATTCGTTAAATTCTTCGGCAACGTCCAAACCACGTTGATAGCACCAGTTCTCGTCCGATCACTGAAGTTAAGCAACGTTGGGCACGGTTAGTACTTGGATGGGTGACCGCTTGGGAACACCGTGTGACGTTGGCGCCAAACTTTTTGTTTAAATTTTTATTATAACGCAAGCGAAACTAGATTCGACCGACTCTCTAGTGTTATACGCACTGATTAATCAGCTAATGATTTTGCAAAGAATTTTCGCGAACCAATATGCAAGATTTGATTTTTTATACTCGTTCACGTGACTCGTTTATTTCACATGATCGTCTTGACTTCATAATCAAACAGACATGAAATTTGTCTGATCAGACGATCAATGGCAGAAATGTGAAACTTGCGAGATACAATTTCATTACATTTCATGGGAAATTTTTAATCGTGGAAATGTCAAGAAATTCACATTCAATTTAATTACGTTACGTATACATTTTTATTTTCTAACTGGCACAACCATCAACATTACTTTGATAGAAAAAATAGATTTAATAAAATATTCAAATCTATCTAACCTAACCCATTGATATAGTTTTTAAATATATTATTTTTCAATATATACTTAGCGCAATTTGTGTTTTGAAGGCGTAATTCAACATACTCTTTTCATCGAATGTAAAAATTCTACATTAAATCTACTAAGTTTGTTGACTCATTTTTAATCTTTTCACAGCCACATGCGTGAACATATGCTGCCACCGCGTAATCAACGAATCAGGAATGTTGTTACAGAAGCTGAGATCAATCATCTCCAGTTTAGGACAATTTATGAAAAATGCATAACATATATCAGTTGTTAGGGAGAGCGAGCCTAACAGGTCTAACTGTTTTAAATTTTGGCACAGCGTCAGTGCTCTCAAGTCACGCTCGGTGAGCTGTCTAAAAGAAACCAAGAAGACCTTTTCCAGGTGTTCGCAGGAAGATAGCAATCTACGGAAGCTGTCACCATGACCAGTCATACTGCCACTGTAAACAATAGTTACTTTATTACTACCCTTCAATTACAAACAGAAAAACAATGCAAATATTTCGAGATGTATTCAGGAGAAACATATAAATTTTAATGAAAAATATAAGAGTAACAGACTCGCAATTAACGGGTCTCGGATTCAATTTATCATCTCATAAATGAATTTTAAAATCTGTGCAAACGGCGACAGAGCAATGTATTAGTAAAGAAATCGTGACACCGTACCACCAACCAAAATCAACCTCCCGTAGATTCTTGCAGTCGGCAAGCGCGTCAATACCTTGTGACGTAAGAGTAAGTGCCTTCCATAAATCTATACTTTCCAAATCCGGACACGAGTTTCTCAATTCCATTGCAATCTCATCTACGTTCACACTCCTATCCATGTCGCCTATATGTAAATGACGCATCCGGCGATTTCGTCGTAGTATCTTACAAAGGGTCTGAGTCTTTATATGTGTTCTGTAAAGATCCAAACGCTCCAGAAATTCAAGATTTTCAAGATATGAAAATCCCATGTCCCTTATCAATTCACAATTACGCAGACTCAATTCTGAGAAAAAAGAAATGTATTGGTGTTACATTGTCTGCAATAACACAATGATGATAATTTTCTATGCATACCTTTCAAATTTTTGCATGTCCTCGAAATTGCAAGCATCGCGACGTCGTCAATACATGAGCAGCAATTCAGTCGTAGGTGTGTTAAGAGGCTACCGCGAGTATCAAGAAATTTTGCGAGATCCGGAACAGAAAAGCTGTCGCACCACGAAAGGTCCAATTTTTGTAAATATTTACACTTGAATGCCAAGTAATGCAACGCCTTCGCATCAATAATATGCCAATATGGTTTTAGATTCAAACTTTTATAAAGCAATGGATCCTCTGCTAAATTACTGAAAAATTTATTCACTCTACTCATTCGACATAACGACTGTAAGTCTAAATATTTTAATATCTTCCTCACTATTTCATCCTGAAAAGATAAGATATGAAATTTCAATTAAATCAGATGACATTACAATATCATTATCAGAGACAGATCTCAGAAAATATTTACAGGAAGTGCAGAGAACCTGCAACATGACGACTCCATGGACTCGTTTGAAGGATTATCTTCCAAAAATTTTGTAAGTTCTTCTGATAAAAAGTGTTGCATACTATTACAGTTATTCTTAAGAGGTGGCACATAGTAATAAAGTGGACCTAACTGAGATACCAACTTGCTCTCGTGAAAATTCGCTACTACACCGCTAGAAATAACATTGGTACAAATTTATTATTAAGAAAATCAAGAAAAGATATTATTTAATGTCGACAACTTGCAATACCTTTTATACATAATACAATGTTCATCCAATGTGTTCTTAAGATGGACTATATCTTCGAACGCATTTTCATAATTCGGTGTTAAATTATGAATGTCCTCGTGACAAGGATACGAGCTGTTAATGCTTTTTAATACATCAGTTAAATTCCGTTTGTGCGATTGGTCCTTGGGCAAGATTAATTCAAACGTTCCGATGAGCATCACAGCATCTATTTCTGTATAATATTCCAGTAAACTGTGATTAAACTCAAGCCTGAATGTTTTGGTCTTGAAGTCGCACGACTGTAAAGGTGGCGAAAATAGCCGTGATCTCTCAAGAAACTGAGGCACGATCTGAGGCGGTCCGTTCCACAGGAGAACCCACCGATTGTTAGGATCTCGAGCCCAAATTCGAATCACACTCCCAGGATTTTGTACTTCATATATGGAGAGTCTCAATGGATATACAGCTTCACGATATTCGATAGCTACAGAACAAAAAGTACAATTATAACGTCTTTTTTTTCACAGAAGTGTATCTTCTCCAACAGCCTCTCATTTATCGAGTGTTACTTACTAATATAATCTTGACTCACAACATCCATATTATTCTGCGGCATATAGTCGATCGATCTCGAAGGTGCTTTGTCCCACCATGGTCCGTAAGTTCTCTGAATTAAGAAGCAACTCAGAAAAGTGTCAAAATATAAATATATCGTAGCAATAATTTAGATTGCTACTATAATGAGCGACATATGATTCTGCGTGAGAATAATCAAACTGCATCGATTTATGCCCGCTAGATTCGCAATCCTCATGTGTCTATTATCATCCATTTCAGAAATCCACACTTCAGAAAAGTTATAAATGGATGGAACGGGTAACGCTGGAGAATTTTACGCACCATGGTAAATGTCTGCGGAAAATCTCCATACATGGGAAATTTGTCAGGTGGCCCAATTATGTTAGCAGCAGCATAAGATATGCTGTTATTACCGCCATACTGAGAACTAAAACTGAGAACATTTGTCACAAATTGTTGAACAAAGGTAGCACAGTCCTTGTCTATGGGCGCGTTTTCTGTGCTGAAGACCACACGATGATCTTGGCTCAAACGAAGAGATAAAGAGATCAAAAATGGGTCGTAAAACGGTTCCATTCCTTCTCTAAAAATAAAGCACGTAGAAATAAATAATATGCTTTTTCAAATATATAAACGCCAAAGCGCTGCATCTTAATGATATATCATACTGTCAAAATTTTACAGTACCTTTTCTAGAGGTATGTAATAAAGCGCTTCCTCTTTCTCTGGAAGATCTCTCGTATTAATAAAAGAGAAGATCGGTCATCTAATTCCTGACTCTACATGGACTGACATCAACTGTGCGCAGCGAAGCAAACAGCTGGGTTCCAACAAAACTGTCACGTGTTTTTACAACCAAACCGCCACATCGCTATAAAACTAAAGAAAACCGACTTGCAGAATACAAGAGGCAATAAATTATCCCAACATCTGCGTCAAATGGCACGTGTGTTTTAGAGAAGATTAACGCACCCAAAATTATCATCCAAACGACACAAACTTTGATAAACTTTAATACCTTAAGCACAAATTAATAGATGTGCCTTAAGCCTGTGGAACAGCTGGTTTAGAATATTATTATTATTATTGCTTTACTGGCGCCTGAGTCAGACCGTGGCCGGTGGTGGGGATGTGGTGGGGGAGGGGGGGTCGCACTCAGGTTAAAGGTACCATTTCATGCGCAGCATACTGCCGCAGCAACTCGCTGCTATTGGTTGAAGAATTGTTACTAGATGCTGCAAAATAAATTTCACCATATTTTGCTTCATCGCTGTGAAGTTCAATTGAACGAACAGCAAAGCAGCAGACACGCGATCTAGCCGGCCAGTGCTGCTGCAGCTATTCCTTTTCCATGAGCAGCAAATATGCTTTAGTGAATTTGGATCACGTGACTAATTTGCTGCTGCTGCATGCTGCGTATGAAAAGGCACCTTAAAGGCCTTCACACATAAAATTCCGTAAGGACGTAAAACGTAAGCGTAAGAAAATCAACAGGTTGGATTTGCTACTGCTTGCGTCATTGCCTTACGTTCTCGACTGTGATTGGTCGATTTTCTTATGCTTACGTTTTACGTCCTTACGGAATTTTATGTGTGAAGGCCTTAATACTTTTAGATCCAGCCAATCATATTAAGAAATCAATGGCTGCGTTCAGCAGACACAACTGTTGAGTGAGCGCTCAGTATGATTGGTTAATACTTTTAGATCCAGCCAATCA